GTCAGAGTACACAACGATCGCTTCGCATTGGTGAGGGAAAGGGGGAGGGTTGATTTACCGATACGGAGCTCTGTCCAGCACGTTCGCTGAGATACCGAAAGAAAGATTGTGTTGCGGGTTAGAAAGCTATAATGGCCGGGATTATCATACCAAAACGGATCTCATATCGATTTAATGAAGTGTAATTTTTTTTCACACGGTATGTACGGCCGAGCCCCATTGCCGAACAGCAGCGTTGCCGTACTCCAGATTGTATCGTGAAGAAAATTGTTAGTGACGCGAACGATAGAATCTGCTGTACGCGACTCGGGGTGGCGTTCATAAGGAAGGATGGTTTTTCGGAGAGATCGTATATATAGCTCAACCGAGCTTAGACTATTTGCGCTCGGCCGGCCGTACAGCGCGAAGACATATTATTATTAATATTATATTATATTATATATTATATATTATATATTATATGATTATTATTATTATTAATTTTTATTAATTATTATTAATAATTATTATTACATAGTCATTGTCGTCGTCATCTTCATCTTAACCCTTAACACAATGATTAGCGTTACTCATAGTACGTTAAGTAATTGTTAAAGCGCGAAATCTTTATTAATATTACGTTAGGTAAACCGTTAATATATCGCCCCGCGTTAAGAGGGTATACTTTCAGGACGGATCGCGCGTTCGAAGTGATCTAGAAACATCGAGCAGACCATGAAATCGGAAGCAATCTCGCAAGACGTGCAACCAGCGACTCTATCATTCTTATATCCGTATAATCGCTGCGCACACATACACACACACACACAGAGACAAAGAAGCTTCTATTTATCGATAATGCGTATAATTATAACGCTGTGATTATGTCGCATTATTTGACACTCGATTATTCTAACGTAAATGACTGAGAAATTACGATGCAACGTTAATTTGAGTGTATAAATTTTATCGTTAAGACACATCGTAATAAAGGCATCTAACAAAACCGTATATTTTCAAGTTATTGATTTATCTCATCCGTATTATGTGCATCTTTTCTCTTTCTTGTAGAGAATGTATAGAAAAAGATAAATCATCTGAAAATTGTGATCAACTATGCGCGCGATTTATACATGTGTTATACCAACTAACCTCTTTTATTTCTCTACGACCTGTATGTACGTTTATCTTACCGTTCCGCGGAAATATAACGATGAAAACTGCTGTGAAAACTCAGATGTTTGGAGAAACAAGAAAGAACACGTGTAAAAAAAAAGAAAATATGTGACGACGGTTCTGCACGATTGCCAATCTATCTATAGTGCGCATCTTCATGGAAAGAATAGTTTTGAAGTATATAAAAATTAAGCCAGATATAGTCCTAAAATAACTGTATTGGATC